TAAATGCCGTGACTTCTAAATTCAAGATGTCCAAAATATATATATTTAAGTAAGGCTACATAAACTGTATAAACATACACAAAACCAGAAACTCTGATACTGTTTTGGAACTAAAAACAAACATGCAAACAAAACAACGTCCTCCACGTGCAGCTCCCCAAATCGGAGTTTTAAACTTTTTGTCACTAACTCATATTCAGATTCCCGAGAACACCAGTGGTCAGATAGTCCTAAAATTCTGAAAAGGTTCTACAGATTTCTCTAATGGAACATGCAGCCAAATCTGCAGCTCACTGCAGTTGTCTTGCTCTTTTGGGGTGTACGAATAGTTAATTTTAAAACTGTAATTTCACTTTAAGAATTCAGTGCTAAATTAAAAACAAAAATTAATTGAATTATCAGAGATTCACCTCTTCCCTGAAGTTTCAGGTCTTCCTTAAGATTCTCAACACGAATAATTTCTAATTTCTTAATTCCATCAGTATTTGAGTCAGGATATTTTGACAGAGCAAAGTTCACTACCAGTATCAAGATCAATCAGAAATGCCTGCCTACAAAGTTGACTCAAAGTTTTGTGTGGTTTTTTATTCCTCAGATATGGAAAAATACAAAATTTCTATATGAGTACAGTTTTAAGAATAATTTTAAAATTGCTTCAATAAAAGCGAAGCCTCTAGGAATGATGAGGCCTTTTCTTAAACTGGTATGCTAAAATGTTTTGTCAAGCACATGACGCCATTTGCTAAGCTGAACATGTTACACTTCATTACCAATAGCTAAATATCACTTATACATGAATAAAGGACAATCTGGCTGATTTAACAGAAGGAAGTTTGAAGTAATTTTCATTGAATAGCACCTTTTCATGTGTTTTTTGGAGTCTCCATTTAAGTGTTTCTTTTGTAGTAGCCATAATGAAAGCTCAAACCTAAACTCAGTAGTCTACCCAGACACCACTGACAGAAAAGTGTCTTGGAATTCAGCCTTCTAGCAAAGCACTAGAATAGTAAGCAAATCTCAAAGGAAAGATGGTCTTTCTTCTTAACTACCTTTCACAGTGTTTGGGAGAAATAGAGGATAACACTCGCTCTACCTTTTGGAGTTTTTACTCATTAAGATCCTTCTTGATTCACCAAATTCACACATACACATGGGCGCAATCTGTATAATTAGATAAAATACATTGTGCATACTAATTTCAGACTATCTGCATCCCAGATACATTTACTTGTATTCTCTCTAGCTGCATGAGTCGAGACAAAATTTTCAGTTTTGTGTGTGTCTGTTTTGACACAGACTTTTTCAGAAATTAACTTTAGGGTCATAAATCACCTCTGATTACTTTAATAGGGTCATTTCAAATGTGAAGATGTCTTTGTAAGTTCATAAATTTTCCTGATAATTTTATGCCTGTGGCTTGTATATCGTAATTCTGAAAATTCATGCACATAGCATTATGTCATAAATTACCACATTTATTTTGGCATGAGTCTCAGCACTCCTGAACACTGCCTCTATTATTTAAATATGTTACACATCTGAAACACAGGATTCAATACCCAAAATAAAGGAACGCTTAGAAAAAACTAATGCTCAGATAAGGGATGAGGACTGGAATTTTTCTGGTGATTTGGGATGCAACTCTAATTGAAAAACTCTTGATGCCCAGCTCTTTGAAACATTCTTGAAAGCCCATTTAAAAAAAAAAAAATCCCAGATCAAGCACTATATTACAATACCTTATGCAAGATTTCTAATGACACAGAAGTGTTTCACTTAATACTTGGTTTTCTTCAGGCTTGTGTAACAAGCAAACAGTAACTTTCACTTTAAAATTTGCCTGGATGGAGAACACTCCCTGACAAAATCTATAATGTTTAAGATAAAAATCTATATAATGTGAACTATTAATAGTTTGTGGAAAAGCCATTAGACTTGATTATAAACCAGATGATATGAAAAATATTATTAACATACCATACTGCTACTGAAAATAATTAGTTCTCAGGCTTTTAAACATGCACACACATATGTTTTTACATCTAAGTAGATCCACTGAAATCAATCGTATATATCAAATGAAATTAAATCAATTTATACAGATTATGCACCAAATCAAATTATGTTAGATTAGACACCAAGTGCCTAGCAAATAAAAAACCTTCTCCAAGAAAACTAGCCCATTTGATACAAAGTGACTGCACATTTTTGATACAATAGGCGGCAGCTTAATCATTTCAAACTTTAATTACTGCATCAGATAATTAATATTTTGAACATATGCTTCTCCACTCTGCTAGAAGACATGAATGAAAGAGAAACAAGTTCATATGCATGCTACTGTGTGTGCATGTTGGGGGAGGGAGCAGCATGCTGAACAGCAAAAGGAACCGAGTGGCAACAATTGGAGGAAATGGTATCTGTAACAGCTGCTCCTTTCAGATTCCCCTAGAAGGAGACTGCCTGAGGTGGACCACAGCACAAAAGGATAAAGAAGATGAAAACTGATGCAAAGCAGGAAAATAACTGCTGAGACCCCTGAGTCTACACCCGAATAGTCCCAAGCTGTGTGGCAAGACCTCTTTAGCATGCTACAGAAGCTGGTGATGAACTACGTATTACCATGAGGCAAACTGGCTCCTAGCAGTATTGTCTGCATGTTACGTGTAATGATAACCAGTAGTCCTCTGGGAACAGGATGCAATGATTTCATCTCCGTAAGCATCTGAGCTCCCCTTGGATACAGAGACCATTAAACCGAGAACAGAAGGGTAAATTTTAGGCAATGATTTCTAATTGGAGAGTGAAGACAACTTGTGCTCAACAGTACTGTCAACCACTGATATTTTACTGCTGTCTATATTGATCACTGTTAAGGACAAAAGGAAATAAAATTTTACCCCTTTTTCTTAGCCCCATAACACATACTATATTTTCTGAATGAAAGTACTTCATAGGTTTCTTATGCAATATTATTGGAAAGGCTATTATATTAGGAAATGCCACTATATTCTAATATAATATTATATTATTTACATGGAAAAGTATTGGTATTTTCATTACTGTCAAAGTAACAATTTATACTCTTAACACAATGTATTATTTATGTTTTGTACTACAGAGACTTTCTTTCTCTTCTTAGAAAAATGCACCTTGCTTTCCTTACCTGTCAGGTGTTTCTCTAAGACTAAAAACAATAGGCGCAACTTATTATGTTTATATTTCAAATTAACAGTAGCACATTAAAAAATGCACTGTTTCAGAATCTTCCTTAAAAAAAAAAAAATAATTCTGACAATAGAATGACAAAAAGAAAATGACTGAAAGTGACAAAAAGAAATGGAACTTCCAAATGATTACTCTAACTTTTTGGCAGGAGGCATGGGTGAGCAACTAAGGGAAAGGAGTAGTTATAAAATGTAAGCAAAATGGATCCTAAGGAAACAATAACAGGATATCTAATACTTCTGACACTTTCAAGGGTAGCTTGATCCTTTGTATATCATAGAGGCTATGCAGTCTTGTTCATTAATTTCTCCTGTCATGGAGAGATCAAATATGCGTGCAGCCTTCTTTATTTAGTGCATTTGTTTATCTTGCTGCTCTTCATCATTCACACAGCTTGGCGTCACTCAGAAACTTAACAGAAAAGTTGATCAGGTAAGAACGCTGGCACACTTGTCAGTCAAAGACCAATATAAATAAACTTTGGTACAAAAACTGCTAGTCTAATCTGCCACGCTATATTCTTGGAAGAGATCAGATATCCTCTTCTCATTGATGTTGCAACTGTTAGATATAATTTTATAAAATTATATGTAGCTTTTTAATTTTGAAACATTTTCACATTCAGCTACAGACTTTGACTGCAACTGATGTGAGAACAAGCTCCCACTTTCCAGCATTCAGTTGATTTATACAGAAGATAGGCCTATCAGCATTAAAGAATTATCTATAAAAGATGGTAAATAACTTTTAAAAAAATAGTATCACAAAAGCATGTAAGAGGATATTTCAAGACAGAAATCCAGAATCCCCCCTACACTGCAGAAGCCAAGCAAGCAATATTGCAGCCCATGCTGAATTCACTCTATGACTTCTATTGGCCTATTTCTGACAAGAAAGAAAAACACCACAACAAATAACCACAAAGAATGACCTCTTTAAAACATGTTCATTTATGAAATACTGAGTCACTCTACGCTTAAAAGAATGAACAGAAATAGAAATATTAGTTATCCAGCTGATTAATCACAATAATAATGGACAAAATATTCAAATAAATTAATTCTCCACACAACATTTTTAAGAGGATCATGGAGGACCATGACTTCTCTGATGACTGGCACAGACAAATCAAGTTGATGGTTATCTTTCCTCTCACACTGACCTATGATGAACTAGCGGCACCCTCCTTCCAGACTACAATTCCATATGCAGAACACTCCTTGTCTTAGAATTATTATGTTTGGGAGGGTCAAAGGAAACATGAGAAGAGGAGCTTGAACTCAGATATCAACAGAAGAGACTGCATCAGCACGACAGCTTTTCATACCAAAAGCAATTAATATTTCTAAATTCCTGATGTTCTGAAAAGCTCAACATGTGAATTGATATATTTTTAATTGTTGCTCACAAGTATGCTGTACCAAAATAGTTTGCAAAACTGGTGTTTTATATGGAAAACTATTAAATGCAAACTGTTTTATATATGTATGAATACAGGAAAAAGAAAACTAGTTGCATATAACCTGAATTGTCAATTTATATTATTTCTACAGATCCAAGCATGGAAACCTGGACTCCAACAATTCTGGAAGTTATTGGAACCATAATTGTTTAAGCCACATGAATCCCTGTCTACAGAACTAGATACAGTTATGAAAGGTCTGTGAGCCAAGTCTCTCCAAGTCTTTTCCGCTCTCCAAAATCCTTAAGAAGATGCCAAGGAGGCAGAGAAAGGCATTCAGAAAGCTAAAACAACTTTGACATAAACTTACTGATAATGCTGTCTGTTGTTCTCCAGCAAAATTATATGCTAAACTTAAGCAATATGCAGCTTCTGCTTCCATCTTCATATCACCTCCTAAAGAAAGGATTAAAGTCACAGTTATCAGCATAATCTGAACAAAATTACATTAGTACAGACAGTTCTTGCAGGTTCTTAAATAACATACAGATGCTTAAATACTGTATCAAGTTTTTCTTTCTCCTTGCCCTTGCCATTTATCTCTTTCCAAAAATATATAGTAGTAATAAAAAATAGCAGCTATGGATGTAAACAAAGTTCAGCAAGAAAGTTCAACAGCAAGCAATGCAGCACAATCAGTTTAACATGCTGTAACGTTCTCCATCATGAGTTGTTTAATACTCACAGTGTCTTCACATTAGAAAATAATTAGAAAATCATCTCTCTATATATTCATACATAAATGAAAGTAGCTACAAATATATAATACAGCCTAGTATATAAACACAAAATATGTTGAACTCATACACTTCACTAATGTGAATCTTAGCGAAACAACAAGAGAGACCAGTAGCCTAGGTTCATATTTCTTATTCTCATGGTTATTTTGCAAGCTACTGTAGGCTAGAATAGCTTAAAAAAGGGATAACTAATATGTGCAAGCAGTAGTCACAGAAAATTCTGCACAGGCAGTTGCTAACTGAGGTGCATCACATTTATCCATGCCAGGTTTCATTTCACTAATACTGATCTAAGAAACACTGCTTGCTGGTCTTTTTGTATTGCTCCCCCAATAGAAAATAATCCATTCAATATTGATATTTACATAAATTAGTTATATGAATGCTTACTGTATCACACTATAACAAAAAGTTTCCCTCCAGAACATGACTATCCATTAAAAAACATTGTAGATGAAGTTATATTAAAAATAGCCAAAAAGCCAGTCTTTCTGTTGCCCAATATCCATCTGCTCAAACACAATAAAGAGTTTATACCTGAAGCATAACTGCATATCAAGATATTTTGTTGATGAGAAACTTAATCAGCAGCCCTTCTAGTTACTAGAGTAAATATCAGTAGCAGCAGTTTTACATGCTTAAGTCACAGCTACAGTATTACAGACAACAGCTCTACAAAAAGCTAAAAGTTTGTATTTGATCAACAGATGCAGCTGAAAAAGATGGAGAAGTTTTTGGGCAAACATGTCCTCCTTCAGCTGATTAATTGTATTGGCATTCTCAGTATTTGGGTACATATTCCCAAGAGAAAAGATCTAAACAGCTAACTCACAAAACGGATCAAAGTAAATTGCAGATAAAAACAAAATAGGTTTTTTAGTGGCTTAATCAAAAGAAAAAAATTAGCCAAATACAATTGTTACCCGTAAATGTAAAATTTCCACTTACTAGAGCGATTATAATTAAACTAAAGTAGATCCCTGCTGTTTTGAGAAGACATGAAAGCTCTAAGATAAAGAAGCTCCTAAACAACGCTACTTAGACAAACTTGCTGTTTTGGGGGGGGGGGACAGGAAAACTCTAAGATAGAGAGACTACTAAATAATGTTATTTGGACAGTTCGGCCTTGGGAGGGTAGATGCGCCAAGCTACAGAGATGAAGAGGCACCAAGAGGGCAACAACACCAGAGCAAAATAACCTGGAAGGACACGGTATACGTGGTCTTAGAACTGAGTTTGCACAGAAAAAAAGGTCAACCAGCAGACACTGTGAAGAGGAGTACAAGCCTTCATCTTAAGACCCCCAAAGACCACTCGGGGATGCTAACAGACATGCGTGTAAGACATTAACATACGCTAATTAGTTCTCAGAAAAGACATGAATATGCTAAGCATTTCTCAGAAATATACTGAATATGTATATTGTGATTGTATTTAACCTGCAATGACAGGGTGTTTGGTACTCACTTTTGGAGGAGAGATCCCCCATGTGCCCAGTGCCGTAATAACGAATGCTGAATAGTCTTCTGACTACTGAGTCTTCAACTCCGACTTTTCACAGCATCACAGTCATATACTTTCACAAATTAAACATTTGGAATTGAAAAAATTGAATTCTTGCCTCCGAAGTCCAGTTTGGTTTATTCCCCCCAAATTACCATATAAAGCATTCAGATTTCAAATGGTGTTTTAAAATATTATTCTCCATGAGATAAGGCAAGATGAGAAATTTCAGTTCTTTAGAATTAATATAACCGAAGACAATATAATAAAAATCCTGAAATAGAACTAATTTGCTGGCACTTTTAAAGATAATGAAAAAAAAAAAAAAGAACAGCAAAGTTCACATGGGCTTAGATGCCTGAAAGCTTGTTCATTTTTTCCAACAGTATCTGCTGGTCTGATAAAGATACTTCTTTTTAGGAATTTGCCTTGGCTTCTCTGAATACATTTTATACTTTTGTATAGACTGCTATGTTATACTATGTAGCTGTACAGTCATATATGTATTTGTGGCAAATCTTATTTTAAAATTTGGAAAACATTTTCAACTTTTTTGCCATTTTTGATAGTTTAATTATATCTATCCCAACTGCTACCCAAAGACTGGCTAACAGATTAATGTTGAGTATACATTATTAAGTTTAAAAAAACTAATATATCTGGTGATAAATATTGAATTAATATTATATACTAATTGTATGTGCAACTCATGTGCAAAATATGCCCCTTAAGGAATACCATGAAAGGCTCTTGAATTGCTGTGTATGGAAAAAGATGATTATTTGAGACCTTCCAACCTACTTCTGAGAAGCACTCCAGTAATAATCTAGAATAATCATCTAGGAGAAGTAAGACTGCAGAATAGACATTGAACAGCATCTTTTGAGAAACCAGCATTATTAAGATGTCTGACAAATCTGGAGAATTATTCATATTTTCATAAAGTTAACTTGTAAGATTTGCCTTCTGTTTTCTGTTCCCTCTCATGTGGAATAAATGCTCTAGAGCATGGTATTTCTAGCTGCTCAACATCTCACATCATCTATCTTTCAAATGCTATTCTAATTTCCCCCAATTTTAAACCTATTCACACATAGACAAAGCTTCGTATAGCAATTACCTAGAACATGAAGGCAATCAGGGGTAGTCAGAATGGATTTAAGATGGGGAAATCAAGCTTCACCAACCTGATAGCTTTCTAAGATAAGATGACTGGCTTGGTGGATGAAGGGAAAGCAGCGGATGTTGCTTCTTGCCATTTTAGCAAGGCTTCTGACACCATCTCCCATAACATCTTCATACACAAGCTGGTAAAGTATGGCTTAGATAAACAGACAGTGAGGTAGACTGAAAACTACCTGAGCTGCCAGCCTCAAAGAGTTGCAAGCTGAAGTATGAAGTCCAGTGGGAAGCCAGTCACTAGTGCTGTACTCAGGGATCAATAGTGGCACTAATACTGTCGTTAAAGACCTGGATGGTTTGACCAAGCACACCCTCAGCATGTTTTCAGGCCATAGAAAATTAAGGAGGAATGGTTGATCCGCCAGGTAGATGGTTGTGCTGCCGTTCAGAAGGACCTCAGCAGGTTGGAGAAACGGGCCGATGGCAGTCTCAGGAAGCACAGTGTTGTGCACCTGGGGACGGATAACCCCAGGCACCAGCCCGGGCTGCGGTCTGACTGGATGGAAAGGAGCGTGGCAGAGAAGGACCTGGGTTTCCTTGGATTTCCTGCTGGACAGCAAGTTGCCCATGAGACAGCAATGCACACTCATGGCAAAGGCGACCAACGGGATCCTGGGCTGCATTAGGCTGCGTGTCATGAGCAGTTCGAGGGAGGTGATCTTTTGCCTCTACTCAGCACTGGTGAGGTCACCCCAGGAGTGCTGTGTCCCATTCTGGGCTCCCCCGTACAAGAGAGGGACAGAGTGGAATGAGTCCAGCGAGGGGCTGCAAAGCCGACTAAGGGACTGGGAGCATCTGTCCTAGGAGAAGAGGCTGAGGGAGCCGGGACTCTTCAGACCACAGAAGAGCAGGCTCAGGGGGATTTCATCAATGTGTACAAATGTGTGATGGGAGGATGTAAAGAGAGGGAGCCGGGCTCTTCTCAGTGGTGCTCAGCAACAGGGCACGAGGCAGTGGGCACAAAGTGAAATTCTACCTGAACTTAACAAAATACTTCTTTACTGTGACTGTGTTTGAACAGTGGAAAACAGTTTCCAGAATGGTTATGGAGTCTCTACCTGTGGAGATACTAAAAACTTCACTGGATCTAGTCCTGGGATCTAGTCCTGGACAGCCTACTCTAGCTGACCCTGATGATCTCCAGAGGAGCCTGTTGCTACCTTAGCTATTCTGCGATTCTGCAATATTTTACTGTAGGTGTCAAAGTATTTACATGTATTAAGATATACAACAAGAAGAAATCTTGTTTGCTTATGAAAAAAACCTGTTTTTTTGCAAGTACTAAATAACTACGTAGAGTGAAAAGGTAGTGATAGAGCAGATAATATCACTCAAATATTGGCACTTCAACAGTGACTAGCAAATCAAAATCACTGAGCTGAGCTTCTATCAGTGACCTCACTTTCTGATTATGGGTTCACTGTTTTATACTATGATTCCCACAAGGCTGTTTTTTCGGAGATAAAGCTTTCCGGAATCTGAAAGACTCTTTGTTGTCAGCAAGTAGCGGTTTCTGCTTTAGTGAGATCTGGAAGTGCACTGATAGCATTTGTCCTTTGAATTTCACAGGAAATAATCACCCAGTCAAACACTTCACAATTTCTACTTTACTCTTGGGAAAACCATGGCATGCACATCAAATAAAGGAATGTGAAAGCATTATTTTCCACCTACCTTCTTTTGCCATTTTTAAAGCTTTTATTAGCGTTTTGATGGCCTGTTGGTGTTCTTTATTTTCTAACATTTTGTCTGCTAGTAATGCATAAATTCTCCAGAGATGCTCACATGCCAGTGAATTGTATGTACGGCCTGTCTCATCCTTCCATGTCGAACCCTCTGTTAGCTGATAAAATGCTTCATAATGCTCAGCAGCTTTCATGACATGACCTGAAAAATGTAATTGTAATTACAATCAGTGTAACAAGAAAATTTTAAAAAGTTATTAGTCGATACTAATTTTCTCATTAGAAAGTAAATTGCAGCCAACCATTTAATAGATTTTTCAAAAATATTCCTATGTGACTTACAGATCACTGGAAAATACTGCCAAATCACAGTTACCAGCAATGCTGTCATTTAAACATCACATTTTAAATTAGCTTTCCTTTGTAGATTCAGTGTTGGAGGTATGCGATCCCAAGGACGCAAAGTCAGAATTTTCTAGAAAATACGTCTATTATAGATTCATTAATATAGCCTTTGTGGATCTCATTTTTCAGAATTACATCTATGTGTTAAAAAAAAAAATAAATCAAAATTCAAACTGTTCCTCAAGTTTCTTTTTACATAATGAAAACCTGTGCTGAAAGATTTGAAACAGGGAGAACAGAGGTATAAAAACTCTGTGTGTGTATGTGTGTAAATCTTTATTCAAATAAATTAATTGATGAAAAAAGAATTATTATGCAAAGTAATTTATCCAACAGCTATTACTAGGCCAACTCTGGTGAGTTTACTTAGTAAATTTACTGGAAAAGCATTAACTACTAATAGATTTATTATTAGGCCTAAAGTAATACACTTCAAGGTCCTCAAGTGTAATACTTAAACATCTTTAAGGCAAAGGAAAGTTTTAAGATAAAGTTCAATTCCTTTTAACACGCAAGTAGTTCCTCCCTCCCCTCTACCTTCAGCTAGATCTATCTCCATGTATATGTGCAATCTAGGACATATCCACGCTTTCTGGACAATGGAAATTCAAAGCCCTTTGAAAGATCAGAAAAGTCTCTCCTTATACACAATGGGTACAGGAAAACTGCAGGGAAACCGGTAAGATAAGACCATTTACACACACACAAAAGCATTCTGGACACAGTACCTTGTTTTACAAGGAATGCTCTACAGCAGGGAGAACTGTGAATGTGACCCTTCCTTTGTAAGTGTGTGTGTGTGTGATGGGGGAATTTTGTCCCACAGATCACCAATATATCAATTGCTTTTTCTATTAAAAGCTGAAACTAGCGATAAACTAAATTTGTTTAGATGTGTTTGCAGTTTACACCTCTTCTGAAACATGATTTATGAGGAACGACTACTGTTTTGCAGACTGCTTTTACAGTGCTGCATTCAAATTGGAAAAAGAACCAGGAAGGAGAAAATTTGTTTCCTGACTGCAGGAAAGGAAGGGAGAGAAGCTTGGAGAAGGACCTTGTTTAAGCATTCTGAGAGAAAATGGAATGTTATCTGGGTCCCCAGGCCTCCAGCCAACCTAAGGGCAGCAGAACTACTATGACAGATTCCTCTTATTAACTTAACTTAGATTTGTCTTTTGCATATGTTACCCTTTTATAACCACGCTTTCAACTTTGCAATATAAAACATAACCCTTATCTTTATTAGAATTAAATTTCTTTTCATATTAAGCTTCTCTGATGACTAAATTCAGTTCAACTAAAATTGAAAACCACAAGAAACTTCTCTTTCAAAGCAGCAGCTAATTCAATGAGTTTCACAGACAAATAATTTTAAGGGTCTACAACCTATGATTTGTGTAAGAGTCCCAGAGGACAAAACAGAAAGTGCTGAAGAGCGACAGGTGAAAGTGGAGACAGCGAGCTTTATTCAGTTCCACTCTAGCTAGGGACAGGTATTGGAGAGATGGCCCAAAATACTGGAAAAAAATCTTACTGCCAGAGTAGCTAACAGATCCTGTAAACAGACAGGAGAAGATTTATACACTCCTTCCAAAATATCACATACCTGACATCAGACTGGACAAACAGAAGTCCAAAGTGAAACTAACTTGAGCAGTACAGGCTGTTTAAGGATTCACTGACAGCATATGTAACAGGAAACTGAGATGCAGACTTGCTAAACCCAGATGAAAACTTCTGTCCATTTTAAAGGGGTTTCCAGTTTGAATTTGGGTTTCTACCTATACCGTCCGGCCAACTTTTTAGGTCAATCCAACTCAGAAATCAGCAGAATTCCAGTTACCCAACTCATTAAATGCAGATTTAAGATATCATTTGAACAAGCTGGTGTTGGCTTTGTGACAAACGATGGAAAGCTGAGTTGAAACTCAATGTTAATAGCTAGATCTAGCATTTTATCCACTAGGATACTCTTAAGCATATACAGATTCCTCCTTGGAATCTCCCCAAAGTTTATTAATCAACTGATTGCTCTTTTGAAACAATATTGCCATACACTTAAGTGATCTACTTTTGCTACATGTGTAATGGATTCTTCAGAGTTTGATCGACATGTAATTCAAAAACTTCCAGTAAGAATGGGAAGCAGAAAATGAATGATATCACCTGGATATGTAATTTGAAGCTGAAGACAGTATCCAAGTTTCTCGCAAGACTCTGTAACGTAATCTCTTAACAGGACACATCATTTAGGTAAACAGTACGTGCAAGCTTCAGAACTACTGTTTAGATTGTTAATACTATCAGGTATGGTAATTCTTACCCATGCTTCCTCACTTGCAGTATCCCCTTGAGAAAGTTTCTGTCAGACTAGAAATTGAACTCTCATATTCCATGTACCCTATAGTTCTTAAGAGTTGACCTAACCATAAGAGCTATGACCTGACATCCTTTTTGCCAGATCTCAGTGAAACCTCTTTAGAAACAATTCATCTACATGAAGCTTCAAAATACAAAAGCAACATAACCTTTTTGGTAGTGTTCAAATGAAAATAAATTACACCTGGATTCACTGAACTATCAAGAAAGATTATGAAGTAAAAAATAATTCAATCTGCTCACAAAAATATCAAAAAAGAAGCTGAGCAAAAAAGTAAAATGCCTGCTACTTTCCTAATAGAGGGAGAGAGAGAATTCCTGACCTGAAAGCCTTTACATGGCTGGGAATTCACTTACTGAAAACTCTTTCAAGTAATACTAGCTATTTGGAGACCTCTCAAATTCATGGAAGGTAAAAATATTTTAGACTGTGGAATTCATTCCTCCATCAAAACAATCTGAAATCCCTTGTTCTTATTGGCAAATGACATATCAGCCTCTTTCTGTAATCCATAATGTTTATATGAACCTCAAATGTTGTGGAAAAAATAATGTTTTCAGGGGCTGGCAAGTTTATTCACTGTCAGGAGTTGGTTCAGTTGGAATCGATCTGGTCAGTGCATTCCAATTTTTTAAAAACTGAACTACTGCAACTGTTACATGCAGACATAGGTAGATGCTGTCTGAAAATCTTGAAAAACATTAAAAGAAAGTAATAAGCCAGAACCTTTCTGAGAGTAAGAGTATTTTTATCTCACCTGAGCAGTGACAAGGCAGAATTTTAAATTACTTTTATTATTAACTGAAGGAAAAGAAGCAAAAAAAAAAAAAAAAAGAAAGCAAAATGAGAGGAAAAACAATTGAGTAGGAAAATTGCTTGGAATAGTTTGTAGAAATGTATCTTTTAAATCTCTGAATTAAAAGAGAAAATCCAGGTGTTTCTAGAAAACCTTTCTGCAAAATGTTACACAAAGCAGTATAGCTATTTTCAGCAGGCAACATTAACAGCAATTGCATATTATTTTTCCCACTGCCATGCAGAAATTAGCTAGGGGTATACTAAGTGGAGCTTGAGAATCGCTGATATCTCTTCCCTGTTTATAAAACAAATCAAAAACCAGAAACATAACTCTTACAACATATATACTACCGCTACTAAAATGTGGTAGTTTAATGTAACTCAGGGCATAAAAAAAGAAACCCTATCAGCAATAGTTTAATCTTAAGTATGGGAAGTAAACATTGTCACAGTATAATTTGGGGAGTAAAGAATCACTTTTAAACAATTATATAACACATTACTCTGCAACTAACAGTATCAAATTTTAGAAATTACTCTTATTTTCATAGCAACTACATATGTATGCACAAAGATTTGTGCTACAGTTTTCACAAAGTCACTCAGAAGTAAAAAAAAAAAAAAAATCTATTCGTTCAAGCAAAAGTACTCAATGCAATTTTGTAAATACTGAAGAGAAACGTTTTTACATTATCTAAAATTTCCTTTATAATTCCCCTTCCTAAAACACAGTCCAAAAGTATACATTTGTTCTACCAAAATAGATATCAAACCAAAAAGGGTATAGATGGAGACTACTATTTTGCCTTTTTTTTTTAAGTAGAAAGATTGACTAGATATTAACACAAATGGGTTTAAATGTGAAGCTGCCATAAAAGCAGGCACAGAAATGTAATTCTCCCAGCCGCTATTTTGATGCACATTTTTGATTCCATGAATATTTTATGAAATGGCCCAAACTAAAGCCATATAACATTCCTGCATTACTGATGCTTGCGCCCGTAAGCTACAAACATTAGAGGCATGATTGAGTGCATTAAAATGAACTTATTCAGCAGTGCATTGATTACTTGAAGGAGAACAAAAAAAAAAGTTAGTCCCACTTAAGAAAACAGCACACAAATCCGAAGTTTTCAATACAGAAGTTAAAGATAGCAAATTTGAATAATACGGTATTTAATAAAGGCAGTACAAAACTATGTAGAATTCTTTATATACAGTCCTGACGCTAATTAGGTGAGATGTTAATTAGGCCCACATATTGCTTCCAGTAGTGTACAGGTAATTTAAAATGTCACAATCTACAAAATGCAGTGACTGACCTGTTCTAGCTCTGTGCCTCAGCAATACTGAAAGCACCTAATGATTTCCTTTTCTATCAGCTCGTACGTTTACCAATGAAAATAATGCCACAGAAACAATTGCACAAAAAAGTGACAGGTCTGTAGGTACATTTCGTCGGCAGCACTAGTAAAAGCAGAAAGCACATTTAATCCTAAATTAAACAGTTAATCCTAAATTAAACAGTTGTTGAGGACTTTAGCTTAAAACAACCACCTAAAGGAACAATAAAGCTTAAAACAACCACCTAAAGGAACAATAAAGCTTTTACGTAT